CCTCGGTGAGCCCAAATCTGAAGTCCTCGGAAAACAGTCAGCCCAGATCAGAGGTCCTCAGAAAACAGTGAGCCCAGATCAGAACTCTTCTCCAGCCAAGAATGAAGTTTTCATTGAGAAGCGAGGGAATCATGGACATACGATCAGTGCGATTGCAGGCGCAGCCTCGTCCGCACCGAATCGTATCGCGCGGCCTCCTTTCACCTGTATGGTTCTCTCAGGTGCTCCCAGTGTCTGTCGAAGACACAATCTCGGTGATCACCGATCTCTCTACACGATCGTCATATCATCTGAGGAGAAATTTTCCTCACGTTGTTCATGTTGCTACTCCGGTGTTCAATGTATAGGTAATTATTTGTAGCTTCCCAGGCTTCGCTTCGGAATTCGCCAGCAGGACTGCGTTCGAGCTCAGAATTCTTTATGATTTATCTGGCCAGTCGCCGTGAGTTTTCCTTGACGGACGAATTCAATGTTCGGGATCATAAAACATTTTCCATCCGGGTCACGGGCGCACGTTCTCGACCACGGAGGCAATCTCTCTGTCACGCACGTGTCTTTACACTTGAAGCGTGCGTCCTGAATCCGAGCGTTTATGTCTCCTCCTCAAGCGCGCTGCTCTCTCTGTCATCCGCTCATTCTTCCGACAAACCTCCCCTTGAATCGATTATTATGAAGGCTCACCTCGGTTGCAAGGAGTGTTCCGGAATGACACGTCGGGTACCAAGTTCAACCGCGAAAGACCTAACCTAACCCAAAATATACTCTCTAGCTCGCTATTGGCGTGATCGGAAATTCTCTGGCCGAATAGCTGATGGATTTCACAGCTGCGCCATTTGTCGAAGCTCTTAGCTTCTTGTCGGATGGCGGGGTCTTGGTGACGCGGATCATTCCCTTCGAGACACGATTGTTTGTTTAGAGAATCGACGAGCCCTCTGACCTCCAAGTGATGTCACAACGCTTGGGGAGAATCAACCCTAGCGTTTTGACAAAGAATTCGAGAGGGAAGCGTCGAGCTGAAAGCTCGCTGCGAGCATTTGGTAACTCGGGGGGGGGCAGCTTCAGGAGACAAATTTCTAGACATTCCACCCGTGCGTCTCTCCTATCCCAGGGATCTGATCGCGTAGCCCAGCAACAATCCTTCAGCCAAGGGAGCTGCTTCCGCTCCTTAGGATTCCTACCGCGTCCGAGGCCTAAATTCACAGCTTGCTCCCACTTTATCTCGGGACTGAACTTTCACAAGTCTGGTTGTTGCATGCGGCGGCGGTGGAAGTTCCGCTGTGTGACGTCTCGAGCGCTGATTGCACCTCGTGCATCGACTTTCCTTTTCACCGACGAGCGTGACATGACGGGCGATTCGCGGCGCCGGCGCGGCGAGGGGCGAGACTCGGTCCGGGGAAATCGACGGGCAGGGCAAGTAGCGAGTTCCGCTCTGCATTGGATTGTCGTTCGTGCGAAAGACCAGAAACGAGCGGAAATTTCAGCGTCTCGGGGACGTTCGTGTGAGAGACCAGGACAAGGTCTTGAATTTCGCGGGCGCTCTTCGGCCTCTTCAGTGAATTAGTTACATTTTTCTCCCGAATACGCAAAAAATTTTCGCTGAGTTTTGACTGCGGCAGCGCCGTGAATAATGAGTCTCTATCCTGCGTATGCGTTTCTCGCTCAGAAGAAAATCCCCCCGGACATGCGCCGCCTGTGGCGCGAGAATATTCCTCTGAGTAAGGGTATGCAGATTCCTTGCACCAGGAGAGGCTGCGAGGATTCCCGTGTCGGCGGTCTGGAACACAAGCGACTCTCTCCCTGCAGGAGATATCAATCGCCAGTCGGTGGATCATGAGCAAGCAACTGCGGAAATCCACCGCAATGTTCAGACCGCGTTTTTCTTGTTTTCCCGGGAGAGTTCGAGAATGTGTTTCGATCTTCTGACTCCAGCGCTCGGACCTTCCCTGGTGCCAAATGAAGCTGAGCTTTTGTAAAGCTTCGCGATCAGTTCTTCCAGCATCCGGACTGTTTCATCATTATCGGCCCTCCGAGATAACAGGAGCTGAGGATTGCCAGGACGGATCGCCCCTCCGGCGAACTTTCCCAATCAAGCGACGGCATTGTTTTCGAGTTGTTGCCGACAGTATTAACAAAAGGACATCCGAAGCGGCTGTTCAATCAAGGCTGTAGATCTCTCCTAAGTCGGAAGCTTTGGTCGTCGGTGAGCTCGAAAGATTCGAGTCCAATTAAGCGGGACACTTGGGTGGGATTAACCGAGTCAGAGAAACAAAACTGCTAATCTAGGTAGAGGGGCACAGAGCCGAGTCACTTCGTCACAACGCCTCTATTAGGAGTTTCTTATTCGTTCGGATGGCTGGCCGCTCAACCGCTCGCTCGGTCGAACGCTCGTGAGACTTCGCTGAATGATCCCCTACGAGCGAGCTATCGAGGTCACGCGAAGGTTTGACGAGTCCTCAATCAATCAGGGGAATGAGAGGCGGGTCTCCGCCAAGACTTCATCATCAACACTTATAGATTGGAAAGGCTTTCCGTCGCCGGACCTGAGAAATCGCCGGGACCGGTTCCGACGAGGATCCCGCATGGGATACGGGCGCTCCGATTAAAATCTCACTTGCCCTGGATTCGACCGCGAGACGAGGCCCGGAGACTGTGAGGCCGGGTAGAACTGTTCCCGGATCAACGCTGCGTGGTTTCCTTTCCGCTCCAAGCCGCTGGGTTTGTGGAGCGGAGATGACGCGGAATATGATGTTCTCAGGAAAACTTCCCTGGCGCACAAAGTTTCCACCAGAGCTGACCAGAGAGATAGTGACTGGCGAGAGCAGGCCGCACCAAGCTCATATTTGGGCACTCTGACGGAGGCGCTGGGGGCCGGCAGTTGATTAGCCGATTGGTTCTCTATCGATGCGGATTCGAAGATCGATATCTGTCGCGGAACGGTGGGATTCCACAGAAACCGATTCATTTTTTAATACATACTCTAAGATTCGGCGTCGTTCGACGTCTCCTTAAGCGCAACCACTGCTCTGGCGCTCAGCACCTCCCTCCTTCGTCCGGGACAGAAACGAGCGGATAATAATTCGCTCCCAGCCAGCGAATTTGTCCGAAATGTTCCCTTCCTGGACTCGCAGCGATGTCTGCCATCCCAGACGAGAAAGTCCTCTCTGACGAGATTTCATGTTTCCGATATTGGGGGAACTAGAGGAGAGTCGGCCTGTCCCGAAGTTTCGTGCTGACGACGTGGCGTTCCGCTCCGAGAGCGCGATTCTCGCCGCGGAGATTAGCTCGTGGCGGGCGCTGGGGAGAGCGGGATAGTTTAGGAGGGCAGACGTAATTTCCTCCTGAATTGTCTGCGATCCAGACCCCACACGACGAAAGCAGCGAGGCTCCAATCAATCGATTTCGATGTAGGACTTTCGGACTGCTCATCTAGTCCCGACAATCGAGCGGAAATATTTGAGCATCTGGCAAATATCCATGAATACATGAGATGGTTCCCTTCCAGCTCAGTCGCGGGCTTGCGAAATCGTAGATCGACTCATCGCGCGCTCTGCCTGATACCCGGGCTACGCTAACAACGTCGGCGTCGTTGCGAGCACTCTGGAGCCCGTGCGGGCTCATTGAAAGCCTTCATATAATACTTATAACGACTGTTTCCGCTAATCGAGAAGCTGTTGAAGCCGGAAGCCTTGCTGGCGAGGCCCACGATCAGAGTATTGCTTATTTTTGTCGCTTCTCAATCTAATCCCGAACGGCGACGCATTCGGTCACTCACATGGGACGGAGCGGTCGTCTCTCAAATAATCTCTGTCTGAAGGTCGCTTGGTCGTTGTACATAGACGTCTGCGAGAGGAACGTGAGCTACGCCGCCGTACGTGGCTTATGATGGAAACGTTGCCAGCGACGCGGGGTAACAAGAGTTTCGTAGGGAGGAAAGCTGTTGGTTCCGGGCAGGATGTCGCGCAGCTAAGTGTTCGGACTCCTTGCGGCGTCAAACGATCGTAGTCCATGCTCGTACCTCCCGTACTTTCGCTTATGCCCCACTGGAAAGCTGCTGCAAGCGCAAGTTTCCTACGGGGCTCCGATCCGACCTTTTCACTGTGGAACAGCGACCAGTCGACGTTATCCTTAGCCTTCCTCTGCAGACAACTACCACCCCGAAAACGTTCGATTCCGAAGTCAGAATTCTCTCGTCATTGAGGATTCGAAGGCTGTGTTCTAAATGACGCCCTCTAAGCCGACTCGCTGATTTCGATTGGCTTTTGAGCTCGGTGCTTCGATGCCAAGCTCGTCGAGGATCGCTTCTCGGGAAGAGCGAATCTCTCGTTGAAAGATTTGAGAGAAGAGCAAATCCGACGATCAAGACGACATCAGAGAATATTATTCTCGTAGGACGCGCATGGTTTTCTCGACTCCGGGGACAATCGTGCAGCAAGAGACTCGCGGGGTTCGGAATCGCCGAGAGGAATTCCCATGGCACTCTTGGAGTCTTGGACAGAATACCTCTCGGATACTCACATCGGTCAAGGTCAACATATTCACGACTTCGACCAGGATTATGCGTCGCTATAGCCGAGAGTATCCCTGAGGGTGAACAAGTAATACGTTTCGTCGTGACCAGGGTCGATGACGTTTTCTGGGTCGTCGCTCCTGTCCCATAAATACACTGCGTAAATCGCTATCATTGAACAACTGCCTAGCTCATCCTGGGCTAGCTGATAACAACGGTTCTGTGACACGATCCCTGGCAGTTTTATAAGCAAGTGAATCTACCTCGCTAAGTATCGGGACACCCCTGGGAAAGGTCCGATGTCGTGAGAGTTCGCAAACAAAAACACCATTGAGCGAATCGCGTTGATTTCCTACGACCTTCGAAGGATGATAGACCTTAGCGGATATGCCCTCGGCTTAGATGGTCAGGGCTTTCCCAATAGCTCTTTAACAGAGGGCTTCGGAGGGATTTTCGTGACAGTTCTGCCAATCGACATTTCTTGCCCTTCCAGGATCAGAACACGCTCGTTATTCCTCGAATAATCACTGAGGATTGCTCATCATTATCATCCTTTGCATCGACCTCATCATCAGACGCTTCAATGGCGGCGGCGGCTGCGGATGCTCACTACTATCACGTCCACGCTGTGCACGGGAAGGCGGTGCGTATTCTCGAGAGATTCATATTCATATAGGAAATATGCCCCGCTCCTGCTCGGAGCTGGAGTCTGATAATCGAGTTGGCGAATGCCCGCCGGCTCCGACCTCCCGGCTTCGTGAGCGTTTCCTGTCCTGTACAATCCGATCGGGTATTGGATGCTTCCAACGGCAATCCTTTTTCAGAGCACACCGGACTCTTCCGAAGAAGACTGCCGGGATTCGTACGGCCGGAATCGGTCTTTGACGCTGAGGTATTTCCATTTCAAAGCCATTCCTTCTGAGCAAAATTTGATTCATTGAATTCGAGGATTGAATTCCCTCCATCCTGTCAGCGATGTGCCGCTGTGTTTTTCTCGAAGACGAACATGATTCGATATTTTCCATCGAAGTTATCATGTCGAGCAAAGGCATCCAACCACGATTCCTTCGCAGAAGAAGATTTCCAAGTATTACATATCGTATTTCAGAGAGATTCCCGGTCGCGTGCGGCACTCGTCCTCGACCGAGGAGGATTCGCCCCTAGGAGTCAGCCCTTCGAGGAGACAGAACATCAGCGATTCCTTCAGACCGCGCTCAAAGTCCGATTCCAAGAGCAAGAAGCCTACGAACATCATGTCCGCTATAAGGTTTGGATTCAAAAACCATTGGAGAGGTTTTCACCAATGTATTCAGATGTTCGCACTCAGAGCAAAGCCGTCACAAGCGTGTTAAAATCGTTTCCGATTTCAGGAATTCCGTCCATGGACACCACTGGTTTTCCAATAATGGGGGCCAACAAAGCCCTTCGTCTTCCAGAGCAGCTCTCACACCGCCATTATCGTCGCCTACGGGCCACTCTCAGTGCCATTCTTACGCGACCTCGCCTGATGGTTTTGAATACCGCGCACAGGGCAGACCAAGGTGAGAGTCCGCGGAGCTTGGAAGAGTGTCCAGCGCTTTCGTTCGGACACGCCAGAATAATATTTCGAAGAGGATCTTGAACTCGCAACGATATCGGCCTAGAGGGGGAGGAAGGTTTCGAGGGACGATCGCAGTCACTCGTGGTCAAGAGAGTTTTTTCTTTGTCCGCGGGGACGCTACGCTTCAGGGAAATCTACCGTTCTCTATGAATGTGCCCCTGCATCAAGCAAGCGAGTTCATCGAATCCCTCTCGGGACTTGAGTCAGGATGGAAGTCGCCAAACTCGATAACGCTGTTTCCCTGGAACGTGGTGTCTCTCCGGCTCAAGCTATCCGCACATCGGGAAGATGCGTTCCACGTTCTATGCTATGCCAGCTCGAGCAGTGGGCGGAATAGAACCAATGATTTGGTCATTCGAATTCGGTTTCGTGGAGAGATGCGGAGACCGGTCCGACAGTAGGTTTCAGGACTCGGCGCGTAACCTCGAAACGGGAGAATAATCCATAAGCGAGGCTTGATCTCCCTTGTGTTCCATGAGAGTCAGGGAGAGATTATCTCGGAGAACTTCCGAACGACGAAAGCTTTGAGGGTTGACCTGTCACCCGTCAGCGCTCGGTCGTAGCGATCCGCATTCCCTCATCCTGGCTTCCGCGACTGAACAAACATTATGTTGTTGTCCGAGTGACGCCCGTTTGTTCATCATCGTGGAGAACGTTTCGAGCTGCTGGGTTACTAAGTTTGGGAAGAGCCATCCGACTCCTGGCCAAAAGTCACGGCAGAAGAACTCTTGACGCTCCCATTACCTAAAAATTTCCACCGACATCTCGTGACCTTCTGTCGCGTCGAAGTTCAGCAGTATGGAACTCGCTCGATCGCATCGAGCCTGGCTCATCCGATGTACTGAAAATGTCAATGGACCCGAACATATGCGCCCAGAGTCGGAATCGAGCTCCGGGAGTCTTGTGACATATTCGCTCCGGATCTTTGTGAAGCCTTTGTGGCAGAAAGCGACTCTACAGTCGCCCCTCGGAACTGATGCGGGGCTTCCGAGAGACTTCTCGTCTCGAAGGCAGACGGATATCAATGAAATCCATTCTACTCGTTTGCCGATCCCTCGCTCAGGTCGGACCAGCTTGAATCGCATCGATGCTTCTGGACACGTTTTTTTCCTTATTCCTCTCTACAGTTCAGCCAGGTAATTGAACGACTAACATCAAGTCATTCCTCCGATGTCACAGCCCGGAATCCAGCACAAGTAGATGTCGTATTGTTGAATCGTGTAAAGGCTGAATAGATTTCAGCTTGAGCGTTTTGTTGACACGGATTTCCGGTCTCAGCGTTGACCGTGTTCTCGAGTTTGTTTTCCTAAGATGCAACTCGACGGATCGTTCCAAGCGGTGGTTCTCGAGCTCAATACGGGCTGTCGATGATGGGTCCCCGGCGTTTATCGCAGGGGATTCACGATCGAAAAGAACGTCTTGCGAGGAGCTTCGGCTCCTGATAGAACTTTATCACTTCAAGAATTTGGAAAAGGTTCAGGGAATACTTTTCCGTCGCCGGATTCCCCCGTCGAGGCGAGATCTCAATCGGAAGCACTGGGAAGGAATATCCCACAATATTTTTATCGCACTTGTGAGGGGAGAATCTGCGGCCTCGCGAGTCGGGACCTACTTCACTTTCGATCGGCCCTTTTTCGGTTTGCTGTCGCGTCCTCCAAACCTGGGAGAATATCGCGGCTTGATTTCGGCAAAATCCGATCCGATCACGCTCCTAGTCAGGGACGGTCTCTGGATCTGACTCCTGCTGCTCCAATGAAATTCATCCTTGCGAGCGAATGCGGACCTCGACCAATTTACATCTAATTTTCAGTTCACCTCGATACATTATTTTACAGATCGGGCTCGGAGTCCAAGGGAGGCGCAGTCGCCAAAGTGATCGACATGTTCCGCAGCCGATCACAGTCCATGAGTCTCACACCTGAAGCCAAGGCCAAAGTGAGTAAAACCTCAGTTTCATCATGGTAGAATGCAGCTGCTCCATGGAAATCTTTGTGCGCCATCCACGCGTGAAGAGGAGCTCCAGGACGTCTCTGGGGCCTGAATAGCGAGCTTTGGAAAGCCTGTGGTTCCGTTTCGCGAACACGAACAAAGTTTCAATGAGCGGCGTTTGGAGGAAAATCCGTGGAATGCTAAAGCAGCTGCGAAACTCAAACAGAGCCCCTCGGAGCGATATATGAGCGGGGATGATGACAGGCTTCGAGAACTAGCGCTTCGCGTGACGTTTCTAGTTGTCCTCAAAATCAAGTGTGCTACAGTGGAACTGTCCATTACTGAGCGAAGGTTCCGTGTGGTCGTAGTCTCGTGTAGAGTATCAAGCTCTCTGATTAACGCGGTTCTGTACCGCAAGACGGTCGTTCGAGCGTGTGAGGAAAATCCCTCAAGCAGCTCGGAGCGTTCAAGCAGAATCTCCGACGGGATTCGGGATGACTCCTTTCAACTTATCCCTGTAAGGTTATTGAGAACGTTCCCCCTACCCCTGGGAAGGATTTCTGTCGGAGCAGCTGTTTGTTCAATCACGTAAATTAGATCCAGCGGTTCCTTGTCCTATCGACGACCTCTGATGCGGTCTAGCCACCGGAGGCAGAAGTGGATTTTCTATCCCATATCCGTCAGTCTCGAGAAATATGCGGCGGGACTCTATTTCGGATCCGGAATCTCGATGCCGCTTCGAGTGACTCGGGAGTCGGACTTCTGCTGAGCCTGCTCGCAAATTCCGAAACTCCGCGGTAGAAAAAGTATCCGTATCGGCTCTCCCAGATTCATCCAATCGACCAGCCCGCTCTGAGACCGCCTGGCCATAGAGCCCGTCGGAACCGTCGGAAATCGACCGAGGCAGACTCTCTATTAGGTAGGTGTGCTCATATAGGAACCGTACCCATGCGAGCGATCATTTGCATGCGCGGCGGGGCGCACGTGTTCGCTAAAGGCAGAGTTATGGACCCGATGAATGTTTCGAGCTGACGAATTAAATCTCAGACGAACGACAGGCAGCAAAAATCCAACATGTAGGTATTTGGCAACGAACGGGACCGACGCAGCCGTCGAGTTTGCGTGCTCCGCTCCATCACGCACGGGATGGTGCACAGCAATGGTAACATGCAACATCAGGTTCGTCTGTTTTGGCGCTCTTCTGCAACTTTCATCGTAGCCATCCTCAAGAACTCGAAGGTTGCCGTTTCGGTGCAATCGAGTTTTTCGCCCCCTTGGACCTCCTCTTAGTGAGGGAGACGTACGAGCTCTCAAGGGAAATTTCGCGTCAAGTGGACGAACAGTGAGCCGTGGACGGGACCAAGCCGCGTCCTGTGATTGCTTTCTACTCTAGGCGACTCACAGGGGGAGAGAGCGAATATTCCCAATGATCGGAAAGCCTCGTTCTCTCCGCTGTCGGGTGTGGGCGGGCGTAAGTCAGCCTTCAGCGACAGATCCAGAATTGTGAAGTGTACTGACCTGGTCTTTGTCGCGAGTCTCGGCAGTTCCCTCAATTCATTGCGGGTGTTTTCCGATCTTCCCTCTTCTAGAATATTAAGCGTTGTACGGATACGCTATGGTGTCAGGACTGAATCATTTGAATCGCGCCGAGAATTTCCAGCTTTGGTCTCGGGCTCATCGAGAGTCCGCATTTCTAGATCTCGCGAGATTTCGTCGATCATCTCAAGTTAGGCTCCAGACGGTATGGTGAAACAACTGAGGCCCGACGTGACCGAGGTGCCCTTTCGAGATATTGAATTCAGAATTCGCTTCTGCAAATAAACCCTCGCTCCGGACGACGATTTTCCCTTTACGGATCTCCGTTCTGAGTCTGAGCGGCTCGATGTTTTTGTTCCGTTCCCTGAGACCGTGCCCATCTGCCCCTTCGTGTCGTATTTGAAACAATACGTCGAAAATTATGGATGTTTTGATCGCTCTTAGATGTCGGGAGGGTCTGAATCGGGAGCGATGGAGTTGCGAATCATAAAGAAAATGATCTCTGCACGGCAGATTTCTCAGGTTTCTCTGAGGTACCACCGACGTTCGAACTTTGGGAAAAAAATGAGGGACGCCACCCTGCGCTGCCGAATGGCGGTTATTCACGTTCCGTAATGCGTGCTTTGCGTGGATTGATTCGAGACACCGTGTGAAAAGTGTCGACCTTCGTCGCTGAAAAGCAAATTGTTCTCGGTGACCTTGACGACATCCACAGAGCAACAAGTTGACCTTGTCCCTAATCGAAGACGCTGATCGTCAGCGAGTGTAGTCAACCCGCTATCGGTGATGTCGGCAACGGTCCACGACACAATAAAAGATGAGCCCGAATGTTTGAAGAGGTGATTCTGCAGACAGTCTCCGACGGCTTCGTGTAGGCTCTACACGGATACTTCACGAGGACCATTTATTTACTCCAACTCCTCATTCCCCGCTCCGAGTATGTGGTTCACATAGAACATTTCCATAAATGGCTCCGCTCACCTCGCTCTTTCGAGCTGAGAGGTCATGCAGGAGCTCGTATATCGTGATTCTGACGCAGGTTTGCTGTTTCCTGGGACCATGCATAAGGCGATTTCGGTAGCTGCTACGACGTGGAAGAGGAAACATCGGATCGTCCCGTTGGCTCGAGGGATGCATTTTTGAAATTTGTTTTGCGGTCCCTCTTCGGCAATACAGAATCTCGGGCTGCTCCACGGAACATTGTTCCGACCCAGGAGACTGATCGAGCGCAGCAGCGCAGTCACGTCTCTGGACTGCAAGTTCTTAAAGGTCATGTTTCATCCACTTCGATCATCGGACACCGCCGCGGAGGGAGAACCCATTCGGGAGAGAGAGCTGCTCAAGATTGAAAATCAAAACGTTGCCGGGGAACTCGACGGCGTGACCTTCGTCTTGTCGGAGTGATTTGGGGATGTTCAGCCGCTCCAATCGGATCGGCTCTCGAAGCCGTCACAAGCCGCGACTTCAAAGCGTAGCGGATGGATTTGTCGACAAGCGCTTGTCGACAGCGGAATCTCTTCGCCACGGAAACGGCTCTCAAATGGTCTCGATATGATTTCCTCCGGACATTCGCGCTGTCCCGCGTAGTCTAGGACCTACTCGGACCTACTACGATGAGGTGAAGGATTTTATTTAGCATCGGAGCCGAATCGAGTCATTACGTCATCACCTCGCTCCTTCGAAGCCTAAGGATGGGAACGGCACTTTCCGGGAGTTCTCCGAGGAGCTCGGGCGTCTCAGCGTTTCAGATTTGAGTGCCCCCGCCGTTCGGAGCGTGCGTCGCCTCGGCAGGCTCTGAAAGTTTTCTATGTCCTCGAAAAACGCCGTCGACTGCCGGAAACAGGAAAAAAAGCTCGCCCGACAATGCGGGAGATGAATCTCCAGGTGAGCGACCCTGAGCTAAGCGAGCTACACGGTTTTGGACGGATGAAGCGCTGCAAGCTTCTCAAAAAGGGGGATCCAGGGCTCTCCATGAACTCGGGAATAGGAGCAACATTATACAGACCCTACTCAAGACAGTCCCAACATAGAAATGCGTCCCGGGTCGGGTAGAGCTCAAGCCAGAGAGGGAACGGCAGCTTTTATCCGATCCGTCGAAATCGCGGGTTGCAGATTCCAGAGGAGCTGTCGGTGCAGCATTGTCTCCCATATCGCAAGTAGGAGTTTGACGTCTACGCTCCAGCCTGACGGCGCGGAAATCTCTCTTGACAAACGAGCTGTAGAGGCCATCGGGAACGTCTCCGGAAGCTCACGGATCGACAGGGAAGGAGAACGACGCGTTACTCCCCCTTCGAAAGGGACTTGGCAACATGCGAATTGTTGCGAATCAACTCCTGTCACTTCCGAGAGGAGAGGCGGGAGCCGGAGAAGTCTCCCGGTGAGAGTTCTGTGGAGGAATTCGAGAACGGGAGTGAGTTGCGCCAAAAATATCCCAACCTGCCACTTGGCAAGTCTGCTTGCTTGCTAATTCCTCGTCTGTGGCAACATTCTCTCACTCACTCACAGTCAGTCAGATCTGGCCAGCAGTGTTCACGCCGAGAGGCGCCTCCAGATCCCTGATTATCCCGCCAGCGTACCCAGACTCGAACCAAGAAGCAGGCGCGCGGCCGGGCAGGCAGGCTGACGTTCGGACAGACCGACGAGCCGGGCCACCTATGGAGGCCGCGAACGACTCAAATAGAACGACAGCAGCGCCCCTAGTGGTTACCCCAGGAACTAACACGTGCAAGTGAGGGAGGCGGGCTTCTATCTACTATATAAGGCTGGTTCGCCGACTCTGCTGGAGCTCAGTGCGTCCGTCAGGCCGTCAGTCGGGCTTTCTGTCAATTAGTCGGCTCCCGAACTCCGGCGCTGGTGCTGGAGACCGAAGAACGACGAGCCAGCGATCGACCACCTGCTGCTGAATCGACTCGTTCCTTGCGCCCCAATAGTAACCTTTCTTCGGCACTTGCTATCGTCGACGTCGTTGTTGCTGGTGTTGTTCCTGTTGTTGTCTCCTGAGGAAGTGTTGTCATCCGGTCTCACAACTCCTTTGATCCCTTCGGTGTATCCTCTCATTTTCTCGTGGGGTTTCCTCAACTCTCCACTGCTGTCAACGACGCGGCTGCCGAACGCCCTCGCCGCCGCTTCTGCCGCTTCCGCTTCAAGCAAGGCCCTCAAGGATGCCGCTGCTCGTGCTATTTCTATTGTGCTGTTGCATGATGTGCATTGAGTGCGTCAACGATATCCACGAAAGGTGCCATCCCGACCCGAACGCCCCGCCACCTGCCAACGCGTAAATGTTCCCGCAATGACCCGAGACTAGGTGTTAGCGAGTTTACTGTGCGTCTAGTTGTCCCGTGGTGTAGTTTCTGCAAGTCAGTCGCGCACCGACGTCGGCGAACGCTGCCGTCAATGGCCAGAAGTCGATGATGTGCCTGGAGAAGAAGAAAGACTGAGACGGCGGCAAGGAGAATACAGAGAGGGGATTC